CAGCTAGGGCACAAGGCATTCACATGCACGAGGCAGCGGGTTTGTGCTAGGTGTCGCACGTGTCTCACGCGATATCATACCCATGTACTGCACTATTCACTCATTAGGCATAGCTCCTATCTCGTACAGTATATAGTCAGCTCAGAGCTCTATCGAGCTCCTCAGACCTTACAATACACTCGTTCAATCCACCTTGTTTGGATCTCACTACCTTGTCGACTCGCTTCCCATATGACCCCTCCTCAGCTCATGCAAGACTAGGTGCGCCAGCGAAGGACACCACCACAGCGAATGCCAAGTAATGGTCCCTAAATGCATACCGTGTGGGGGCCCCCATGAATCTTTCTCTAGGAACTGTCGAGTGCTATACTCTAGTTAGGATGCCTAGGACGCTTAAGATATTCTAACTTAATGTAGGAAAAAGACATAAGGTACTGCACAGCATAATAAATAATAAGTAACTATAAGACTTTGCTATATTAGCTATTTAAAAACCTTATGTGTAGAAAAATAAAAAAGGGAGAATTATTATAACACTAGCTAGACACGCTTACTAGGCTAAATTTACGCTAACTGCATGTAGAGACAGGAGGTGGCCCTTCTAGAGTATGCTATAGATATAGAAAGACATTAAGGCTAAACAGCTACTAGTACAGTTGCCAGACCTTATAGCAGTAATGCTATAACTACCTAGTTAAACAGTCCTAGTAGTGTTAGTTTATATTAAGATAAAAAATAAGTAAGCACTAAATAAAAAAAAAATTACATCTAGACCTTAATCTAAACTGCACACAACTAAACTAGAACGCAGGTAGACGTGGTTCTAGCAGGTAATTTTAACTAATATAACTAATTATAGAGAGAGGATAATATGTTAAACACTTACTAAAGTAAAGTAGACTTTATTATACACTTTATAGTAGACTATTTACTCTATAGTTTACTTTCTAGGGGCATAAAAACATAGTAGTAAGAAATAAGTAAAAGCACTATTAATTTAATGCTAACTTTAGATAACTTAGTAGCTACAGCACTATGCTATAAAGTCTATAAGATAGAATATAAGTTAAATTATAAAGTAATTAAAATAACTTTTAATATAACGTATCTAACAGGTTAGCCGGCCACACAGGTTAGCTAGCTACTTTTGCTAAGCCCCTACTAAAACTACTCTATTCTCTTGCAAAACAGCCTACTTTAGCCCTATATAAAGTAATACAACATAAGATATTATTTAGAGTCTACTTTTACTACTTACTTACATATATGTAAGTTATACCTAGTTTAATTACACTGCCTATATTACTTTTAACTTAGCTTACTTTTTTTAGTGTGCACTTATATCTTTAGCTTTTTTTTATTACTACGCGCTTTAAACTTCTTTAGAGTAGTTAGACAAGCCTTATTTTTAACTATTAAAGTTTTTTTTACTTAAATCTACTTTTTTTTATATAATCTATGTTGCATAGCAGCTTTATTTACTGCTTAAAGCTTTATAATCTTATAGCCTACTTTATTATATTAATGCTTTAGATAATTATTATTTACTTTTTATTACTTTACTATATTACCTTTAGCTGTCTTTGTCTTTTTAAAGCTGTAATAACTGCTTTAGTTAATATTTAGCTTATTATAAAGCTTAACTTATTAAAGTTATATATATTTTTATTTTAAATACTATACTTAGCTTTTATATTAGCTACTAGGTAAAACTAGCTTTAAATAACTTTTAGATTCTTATAAAGTGCTTTTTTATAATTATACTTATAATTAAACTTTATTATAAACTTAGAGCAGTGCTTAACTTATATACTAAGCTAGTTTAAGCTAACCTAGCCTAGATTACGCTTTATAAGTAAGAAATTAGCTATATTAGCTATAGCTATAAGCCTAAAAAAAAATCTACACATAATAAGCTTAAGTATATACTTAATAACTACTTTTTTTTAAGCTTAGTTAGATTTCTTAATTTAGGCTAGCATTTTACTTATAAAGGCTGTCTAGCACGTTAATTACTTAGTGTTGTGTAAAAGACATTATAAATAGCTACAGCGTGTTATAAAGAGAGTTTTAAGTCTTATTTAAAAGCCTAAAAAGTAAGCTGTATTTAATGTTCTTTAGAAGATTTAATTTAGTGTTGTTGTTAAGGCATTATGTAGATAGGTAGAGTTTAGTAGAGGCTTAGCAAAAGTGGCCAGCCAACCTGTGTGGCCAGCTAACTCGTTAGGTACGTTAAATACTTTAAAATAGTAAGTAAAAGTAAGACTATTATTTAAAAATGCACTAACGTACCTAACAGGTTAGCCGGCCACACAGGTTGGCCGGCTACTTTTGCTAAGCCCCCACTAAACTCTACCTATCTACATAATGCCTTAACAACAACACTAAATTAAATCTTCTAAAGAACGTTAGATACAGCTTGCTCTTTAGGCTTTTAAATAAGACTTAAAACTTTCCTTATAACATGCTGCAGCTATCT